GGGACAGATCTTGGCCTACATGGCATTCTGCGAGGTTTCCCAGGATCAGTCTCCGGGCACACCTGCTGCGGCGGGAGACTTTGGTTTCAAGGTCTTGACCGCGTCCGACCCTGAGGAGAAAACCAAAAAACTTTCGGCCGAGCTGGCAAACGGCCGACTTGCAATGATGGCCATCATCGGAATGTTCTTCCAGGCCCATCTCTTGCTGTGCATTTTAGACAACTGGTTGTTAAAACTACTTAAAAGTTCAATACATAGTTTTCAGATTTCTTGAGTACTGCCAGAAACTCCTAGTTATGCGGGTTGTGAATTCTTGATGCAGATGAACGATAGTGCTTGAGTGCTGGCGTGTTGACATGCAGGATGGCCTGACCGGAAGCGCCTGGGGAGATTGGGCCAACTACACCGCTTCTCCTTTGCGAGCCTTTGAGAACGAGTTGGGCGTGCAAGCGCCAGTTGGGTTTTGGGATCCTGCTGGGTTCACAGCGGATGGCAGCGTGGAGGACTTCAAGCGACGTCGTCAGACTGAGTTGAAGCACGGCAGGATTTCTATGTTGGCAACCATGGGCTACATTACACCTGAGCGACTGGTCCGCAGACTTTGTTTTTTGGGCAGAAGAGATTGCAAAACACAAGTGTGATGACGCGACATGAAGATAGGACTTTGTAAAGTGATGTGAATGATATATACGATGAATGACAACAAACACTGAAGGCAACAAGTTTTCATGGCTTGCCTTTGCAAGTCATCCTCTATTTACATACTGAAATGCATTGATTAGTTGATATTTATGAATGGTTATCAATCATGAATTTGATACACAGGTCGCAGGCAACACTTTATCATCCATCAGTGTGTGATCCAACCTTCTCATCGGATCATGACAATGTTAGATGTTGTATTTCTATTCCTTGTTTACACAATTGTACCACAAGTTTTACCACTTGTTGATGATGTTCTTGTTTTTTAGTATTGATCTTTGATACAGTAGTTGTATTGTTGCTCTTGACCTTGTTTGACCAAGGATCACTGGAAAGTTGCCAGGGTATTTGTCGCCATCTGCCGGCCTGAAATTTGCTGACGTGCCAAATGGACTTGCAGCAATTTCCAAGGTGCCTGCAGCAGGTTGGGGACAGATCTTGGCCTACATGGCATTCTGCGAGGTTTCCCAGGATCAGTCTCCGGG